ATGGGCAGGAGAATCACTTGGCACAGCCCTTATGGAGAGCAACCGGGCACTATCCACTCATAGTAAGGCATCAAACTCCTGAACACGTGTCTCAGAGAGACACATTCAAGGATGCTCACTGCAGTGCTATTTGTAGTCAAAGGTAGGTGGAGGCCATGCCTACTCAATCACCCCCTAGGGAAGTGCCATGCATCTGGTAAAGGCAATAGGTAAGATATTCAAGATGACATGATGAGTGACAATGATAAGAAGCCTCATGAGGTCTTCAGTGGAATACCATGCAGATAAATTACAAGGCACATATGGAGAAGTACTTATGAACTTTATAGGGACATACAAAAACAAGAGGATTCTTATCAAACATTAGAATGGTTGCCTGGGGTGGGTAGAAGAGAAGGGGGAGGAAGTGGAGACGAAGGATAACTAATGAGGGAAGCCTTCCTTGAACCATGTAGATAATAAGCCAAGAACTATGGGATATGAGTGGTCTTTCTGAGGTACTCTAGAAAAGTAGGGACAAAAGGAAGGGGGAGGAATGGTTTGGAAGGGAAGGAAGGAGGGAAGGAAGGAAAGAGGGAAGGAGGGAGGGAAGAAGAAGGGAAGGAAGGAGGGAGGGAGAAAGGGAAGGAAGGAGGGAGGGAAGGAAGGAGAGAGGGATGATAGAAAAAGCAATAGTGGGAGGTAGAGTGGGGTAGGAAGAGCAGCAAGGAAGGAAGAGGTCACCTTACATGTAAGACCTTCTAGAACTTCCCTGCCTTGTCCTAGGATGGAACCTCCCCCGCCACCCCCCCACCCTGCTGCAGAGCAGGGCCATAGAAAATAATTGCAATTTGCTAATTGTTGCTAAAGAGACTGTCAAGATTTATAAGACAGATCAGAAATCTTGGGGTTTAGTAATACCAAATAGAGAGGAGAAGGAACTTTGGGAGAAATAAGGAGTAAAGGGTATTGATGAGGGGGTGGAGGAGGGTGCAGAAGGCAGAGGTGAGAGGAAAGGAAAAGGGTTCTTGTGGAATCCACCTGCCTCCCACTCTATTCCAGGTACAAGTTCATCATCAGGGAGTACGATCACCCCTTCCCTGGCCCTGCTCCTGAACCATGTACTTCACAGAATCAGGCCGTCCAACCCCCAGGGGGCTTTCTAAGCAGCATGTGGGTGTCTCTGCAAAGGAGGAAGTCCCCCCAACCCAGTTTCATACAGAATTTTTCCAGGACCTCAATTGAACAGACAGCTATGAGCACAGCTGGACGAGATCCTCCTTGACATCATAGCGTTTCACCTTTTTATGAGATATAGAATCACCAATAGGAGAAAGATTTTTTCTTTTTCTTTTCTTTCTTTTTTTTTTTTTTTTCTTTTTTTTTTTTTTTTGTATTGGAGTTGACCCAGCGGTGCAACCACAGAGACATATCCCCAGTCTGTTTTATTTTTTATTTTGAGGCAAGGTCTTGCTAAGTTGTTTAGGGCTGTGCTAAGTTGCTGAGAGTGGATTTGAACGTGCGATCCTCCTGCCTCAGCCTCCCAAGTTGCTGGGATCACAGGTTATTGCACTTGTTTAGGAGAAGGATTTTTAACGGCTAATTCTCATGTTTTCTAGCCCAGGAAACTAAGAATCTAGGAGATGCAAAGCCTTAACTTCTGCTTGCCCATAGCACTTCCTAAATCTGGAAGTGGCATATTCTTACTGTGAGAGTTAGTCCTGGGAGGTGGGTGGAGGCAGAGATTTCAATCTGAAGGGAATGAGCAATAGGAAAAGGAAAATGTCCCTGCTTCCAAGATTCTGTTTTAGATAATTATTTTTATGACTTTAAAAAGGGCAGAGACTAAAAATACTTGACATATCAGCACATTCAATCTTAAATTGATTATTTTTCAAGGCTTTCCATACCACACCAAGAATGAATTAAATTTCCATCCCTAGGAACATCTGACAGAAGAAATTTATACCTTACATATCATATAATGAAAAAAAAAGCCCATGAACACAAAATTTTTTCATTTTTTTTTGCAGAATTAAAAAAAAAAACCACTTTCTTTAGAAATATTCCCCGATATCTTTGAATTCAAACATCTTTGGGAAGCTCATTCTTATAATTAAGAAAGTTTTTAAATCTATTTTTTCCACTTCAAGAGGAGTGGAATAGTAATCTCCTAAAATAGTTAACAAAATTCATTTTTATTCTACCTGTTTTCTTATTTATGGATTCATTTCTTCCTCTTACGGTAAGCTCAGCAAAGCATTTGTTTTTAATTTTAGGAAGTCACTTAAATAAGGTTCTTTTTTTGTGGCTAAAACTTACATGTTCATTTCTGGCATTTGCTTCTAGTAGAGGCCATTTATTTATTATTGTCTCTGATTAATAGCCTTTTAATTAACAGCTATTAATATAAAATGCAATATTTATCCTCTCATCCAAGAAAAGAGAAAGAAAAACTCATCTATTTTATTTGTAGTTTTTGGCCCCCTGCCATTTTGGTAGCTAGGAAAGAAAAAAATCAATGTATATGTTACAGTCAACCCAGATTTGCTGCATTACATTCTGGAGTGTACCATCTGTATTTGTCTGTATACTCAAGAAAATTATATATTGTTCACCTGGGTAGCAATTTGTGTTCTGGCAAATCTTTATTTGCTCTCAGGGGAACCTATTTAATATAATTACATTTAATTGATATTTGTGGTGGTGGATTAAGGAAAAAGGAACCGTCATTTAATATGCTTCAGGATTTTATGGGGCTTGTATTTCTTGGCTTGGTTTTCAAAATACATGTAACCACACTTTTAAAGCTAGGTACTTAGATACATTCAGTCATTTCTTAAAATAGTGCACCGAAAAGTGTAGAATTAAAAACTTGCACCCATCTGCTGAAACAACGAAGAAAGAAATCTTTCTCCTCTCAAATATCCTCTTCTATAGTCCTGTTGTCTAAAAATTTATGATTAAAATATGTGCCCATGAGTTAGCTGATAATTTGGTTTGCATCCAACCATGTAGGGAAAAAAAAAAAAAAAAAACCCAACAAACGTTAGTTGCTAGAAGAATGAGCACACTGAATTTTCTACTTTCCTTATAGTCCCAGTCGTGGATTTGTTTTTCTTTGCATGTCAAAAACAATGGAACTTCTGCTTTCTTTGTTGCCTGTTGGTGTGCCACAATTGAATTATTTAACTGGTGGCTGCAGACAATTTGGGGCTGCCATATTCTGTATATGAAACATGGAAAAAACCATATTTAGCACTTATAGGACTATTTTGTTATGAAGTTATTTGTTGATTTTCAAATTCCTTTTAAAATATAAACACTCCTAGTGAGCAATCCACCCACCAGTTAAATAATCAATTTAATTATGTATAAAAATGCAATTGAGGTCAGTTAATGTTAATATATGATAGCCATCATGGACTTTAGATATACTCAGAGCTGGGGACAGAATTAGGTTAGGTCAGCAGCTGGAAAGATTAGAACATTTATGTCTGAGGGTATTAATTTTTCTTGCAATGTGACAAATAATTATTAAATAAGACTCTAGGAGGCACAACATTCCTGCCCCCTGCACCTGAATTTCAAGGAAAGAATAATATATGTAAATAATATATGTAAATGATAAGACCTTGGTGAAGTCAGGATACAAAGTGAGCAAGTAATTTCCCTCGCAGTAATTATCAGGCCCATTTCTCCAATGGAAACATCCAGTAGATTTGTCTTCTTGTTTTTCCCTCTGTACCCACAAAAATGCATGTGAGAGATTTCTATCTAACATCTTAATGGCAACGGTGGGATTTCATTCATCATTCTTTCCCTAGATTCTAATTGCCAAAAGTTCATGGAACAATGATTCACAAGCCAAGCAATACTGAGTCCCACATAGGCCTCCTGTGTGTAGCAATTGCCAGGGACAAACTGCAAGTGAGATGCTCTAGGTTTCTGTCTCCTTGCCTGTTTGGACTTCAGGTCCCATCACTGTTGAATGAGGGGGACAGACAGATGATCTCTACAAGCCTTTCTCACTTTAAGCCTACTTGTAATCTTATTTGTTTTTAGTTGTCATGTTTTTAGATCTCTAGTTTAATATAGTTTCTACATAAAAAAATGATAATCATCCCATGTTTTGGAGGAAAGACTTCTAGAACAATTTTTTATTAGTTCTTTGTTCTTAGGGGGCAGCCCCCATTTTCCAGGCTGAGGTAATGAAGCATGCACATTCAGTTCTTCCCCACCTCTCACCATCCATTTTCATGGGAAAGAAACATATCGACAGAAATCAAAAGACTAGCCCAAATCACACAGTGGCAGGAACTAGCCTCATTGCCCCAAGTGTGAGGCTTTTTGCCAATCAGCTGTATTGTGGTTCAAGATACCCCTTAACTTACAGTCATGTTACCTCCCCATAAATCCAATGTAAGTTGAAAATACCATAAGTCGAATTTGTTTGGAGTACACCTTTCCTGCTAAACGTCATGATTTCACTGAGTCTACATTAAACATGCTCAGAACACTTCTATTAGCAAAAGGCAAAATTCTCTCAATTTTAAAATAAAATATTGAATATCTTATGTCATTCAATGAATACAGTACTAAATGTAAAAACCAGAATGGTTGTACAGGTATACAGTCACACCATTATAAAATCAAAAAATCCTGAGTTCCACCATTGTAAGTTGGGAGCCATCAAAATTCAACATGGTGCCATTTTATTTGGTGAAAAAGTAATCCTATAAGCAGAATTGTTTGACCCTTGATATTGTTTTTTGAGTTGTTGGATGTTTGAGCTTTTTTTGAGCATTTTTTTTTTTTTGGTGGGGAGAGGAAGAGAACAAAGAGGGGAAAAAGAAAAGAAAGAGAGAGAGATTACAAGAGACAGAGGCAGAGAGACAAAGAGATGTTTTTCCATTGGAGAAGATGGAGAAAAATCTCCCCTTCTTTGGTGGGAAGAATATTGTCTTTGGAGACAAGAGACTATGGTACATTTCCTGCTACTCTTTCTCTTCCAGAGCTGGTGTCTTCAATAAGAACTCAATGGCCAGGAAATGAGATCTGTGCCAAAGTGTTACTTAAAATTCCCGGGTGGGATGACTTGTTCCTGAAACCATAGAGTGAGGTAGGTTTCGGTATGAGATTCCTGAGCTGCCTTGTCATTTTGCATTAAACCATCAATTTGTTGGCCTGAGATGACAAGCACATGACACATCCAAATAATTTTTCTGTCAAGTCTATTCAGACAAAGAGCAGAGATGAAGTACGAGAAAGCAAATTTGAGAGAGAGCGAGTGTTCTTTCTGATGGATGGAAGGGAACATTTTCTCCCTGTTTTTAATTTAAGGATCTGAAATCGTGGCTCTTCCCTCTGGAAACTGACAAGTTCCCAGGACTGAAATGATGCTGTTTAACATAAAGAAGGGTGAGAGGATGACAAGGGTGTGCACAATCAAAGGCTTCAAAAGCCAAAGGGTTCACAGGCAAGAGAGAGAAATTGACTAAATTTGACAAAATGCAATTTTGAATGAAAACCCTCTCTGTCTGATGTGGACATGGGATTAGCTTCTGTTCTCCTTAGCCCAAACAACCTGCCCTAGGAGTTGGAATCACCTGACTTTGAGTATTAAAAAGGCACAAGGCAGGGAGAGAAATCAAGCTGGGATAGTTTTATGGATCACTGAAACTTTTTTCCCTAGTTGAGAAAATCAGGCAGAGCCTGATAATCCACCCACCAAAATGAAAATCACAATATTATGCTGACCAGAAGATTTTTTAGGAGCACTGAAGAATGTATCTCCGTGGGAAAGGCACAAGGTTCTGAAGTCTCTGTTCTTCCGATTTTTGCTCCAGGGTTGAGGAAGGAACCCAGGGCCTCAAACATGCTAGGTAAGTGCCCTACCACTGAGCTACACCCCTGGGCCCCAGCTCTGTCTTTTATAAGCCAAGGGACCCTGGACAAATTACTGAATCTCTTCTGAGGCTCAGGATCTTCATCTAGAAAAATGATACAACCATGTAGCAGGTGTTTTCTGTGTGGCGGGGGGGGGGGGGGTCAGGTGCCCCAGCCACTCTGCAGCAAGGGCTGCACCCTGGAGACTGCTGTTACATTGAGAGTCCTGCACTTGCTCTTGATTTTTTTGATCCCTTGCATCAAGTGTGAAGTCTTGGGCTGAATAACCAATTGGCACATTTTTGAATCTTGTCCCTGCACGGTAGTTGCCAGGGACCAGGAAGAGCAAAGACTAGCTATTTCAACTTCTGATGTAGAGTTTGGGCAGGCCAAGATATGACAACTGTTCACTACATAGTTACCGATCAGTCAGGAACCTAATTTACCATGTTTAATGTTGGATCACCACTATTGGATATTTAGCACCCTAACCTATTTCCCACAATTCCTAATGTCAGAGTCACCTTAGCAAGTTGCTTCTCCACTCAGGAAATACTCTCTTTTGCAGATGGATTTATACCTCATTTTGGGGGGGCGGTGGAACTAAAAAGCAAACTGTCCCCTGCAAGGTGCTCCAGGATCTTGGATATCCTGGCAGGAGCAGAGATGAGGTATCTGAAGGGGGTGGGTGGGTGGGGGAGGGCAGTTAATATGAAGTGCAGTCTATAAAATGCACAATTTATTTCTATATATTCATTTGCATCTGGTGCACACACAGCTGTTAAATATATTCCCAAAGAACAGAAACATTATCCATTTCCATAATTTTTGAATTATAGAAATATTTAGTAAAACTGAAAATACAGCAAGCTTTTATAGGCCGTTATACTGATTGAAAGGCCCTGACAACTTCTCATAGTTCACAGTCATGGGAAACAGATGTGCAGATCTCCTTAAGGGAGCAAAGATGTGAAAACATCGTGGGGACCAGAGGGAGATGCTTTCTCTGAGATTTCAGAAGGCTCTGAGACCAAGGAAGCCCCAGGAAGATGGAGGGTGGGGGGGTGGGTAGAGTTTCAGATTGAGCCAAATCATCAATAGGCCCCCTTGTGGGGTAGGCGGTCCCTACCACACATTCTAGACCTTCAAACCCTGACAGATGTGGCCAACCCAATGCTAGCAAACCGCCTTCCCTGCATCGGACCAGAGAGGGGAGGCAGCCGGGATTGTTTCAGGAATGTGACTATTTTTTCAGCAAGCTTTCTGTACTGTGTCACATTTGTGAAAAGAAACACATTTTCCTGATTTGTTTCCTTTGTAAAAAGAAAGGCAAAATGACAAAGAGAGAGACCACATTCACATGGCGTAGTCAGGAGCCAGAAGACATGTTTGAGAGCTGGGCCTACCACTGACTAGCTGTGTGGATCTCACAGCTATTGGGACTGAATTCGCCCGCATCTTAGATCTTTGCCTACCTCATAGGATTAAATTAGAAAAATCAAAAATGTCCCGTAAAACTCAAAGTTATATTCAGTTGTGAAATGTTATTCATAAATGGAAATGTGTCCAGTGATAATTTGAATGTAACTTGGAACATGGTTTCTCCTAAAATTCAAGCTTTGAACTCAATAAACATGAAGAAAAAACAGACTAGATCAATGTATGCATCCATAAACTCCCAAATGGCAGAAAAGCATGGGGCATGCCCAATGAAGATGACAGGATGATCATAATCTATTTTCACCCCCTCCTAAAATCTCAAGGAATAAGCCTACAAGAAGGGAAGGGAAGTAAAAAGATAATAGCAATAAGCGTAGTGTCCAGATATAACTGGATAATTTTTTTAAATGTTTTTTTTTTAATATTTATTTTTTAGTTGTAGTTGGACATGACACCTTTATTTGACTTGTTTATTTTTGTATGTGGTGCTGAGGATCGAACCCAGGGTCTCGCACATGTGAGGCGAGCGCTCTACCTGCTGAGCCACAATCCCAGCCCCGATAACTGGATAATTTAAACAAATGCTCATCCATGTTTATTCTTCTAATGTTTCTCCCTATTTCTTGGAGGTGGTCAAGATGGCATGAGCTTTGCCCTTAAGGTTTCTTTCTGTAAGGTCAAGCAGAGGCCAGTAAAGAAGGCCAGGCCTGTAGAAGTTTACAGAGGTAGTGCCTGGGGTCTGAGGTGGGTGAAGGGAAGCGGCATGTGAAGGTTCTGGTGACTCCAACATAGAGAAGGGGATTCCTGAAGACGGAGGAGAGCAGGCCATGGGTCTTACAGAGTGCAGTCAGCTCCCTGAAAATCCGCCAGGAGAAAGCAGAACCTATGAGCATAGCAATTGACAAGAACACAAGACTGGCTACCGCTACAGTTTGAATATGTCCTCCAGGAGTTCGTGTATTGGAAATTCAATCCTCATATTCCTATGTTAATATTGAAGATAGGATCTTTAGGAGGTAATTAGGATTAGGTGGGGTCATGAGGGTGAGGTCCCCATGATAGCTTTAGTGGCTTTATAATAGGAAGAGACATCAGGTAGTACATTGGCTCTGTCTCACCACTTGATGTTCTTCACCATGTTGTGCTGCAGCAAGATGGCCCTCATCAAAAGCTGAGAAGATGCCAGAACCAAGTTCTTGGACTTTTTAGACTCTAGAACCATGAGCTACCTAAATTACTTGTCTGGAGTACTCAGTTATAGCAACAAAAATGGACCAAGACAGTGTTGTGATTTGGATCTGGAGTGTCCCTCAAATCTCCTGTTCAGAGGTGGGATCGGGGGAAGTGATTATATCATGAAGACTCTGATCTTGTCCGTGGGTTAGTCCATTGATGGATGAATGGAGCACTGGAGGTGGAACCTAGTTGGAGGAAGTAGGCCCCTGGGGATATGGCTCAGAAGGGTTTATTTTCTCTCTGGGACCTTCCTCGCTCGCTCGCTGTCTCTTTCTCTGCTATCCGGCTGCCAGGAGCTGAGTAGTTTTCCTCTGCAGTGCCCTGTCACCATGATGTTCTATTTCACCTCAGCCCTCAAAGCGATGGAGCTGTTAGACCACGGACTGAGACCTCTGAAACTCCTCCAAGTTTCTATTGTCAGGCATTTTGATCATAATGGAAAAACAAAAACAAAAACAAAAAAACCTGACTAATACAGACAATTCTCTCTCTCTCTCTCTCTCTCCCTCCCTCCCTCCCTCCCTCTCTCTTTCTCTCATCCAGACCTACAATACTGGGTTTGTTTTATACAATCATCAGGAAAGAAATAGTTTTGCATTTCTGGCCACTGATGAAGTTGCAACAAGATCATGTCCGACCTATGGGAGATGGGGGCCGATGCTTTGGACTGAAGAGAGTCACTGCAGGGCAGGAGGGGAGTATCTTCCTGGGGAACGGGAAGGGTTTGAATATGGGGTGCAGGGCCTGTGGGCAGTGCTTTACGGCCTAAGGATACCAGTACAGGGTGGTGGTCACTCAATGCCTTTGGAGAATCCAAAGTGCCTCTGGGGGACCTGCCTTAGTTCAGGGACCAGACATGGGAAGGAACACCTTCCCATGTTACCGAGGGCTCCCCATGCCTCCTGTGGGATACAAGTGGTTTAAAGTCGAGGCCTTTTGCCCATATTTGAGGCCCTATAGAAGCTGCGGGGAACCTCATACCATTTAGGAAGAGGGCGTTTAACATCTGCTATGACTCTGTCTTAATCACTTACACATCCATACAGACCCCATTTGGCTGCTAGAGAGTTGTGGCACTGGATGGTTTAATGAGAGTTGTGACTGGAAACTCAAGTCCATCCCTTGTTTAGCCACCAACCAGCTGAATGACATTGGTTTAGTTCTTAATCTCTACAGATCTAATTTCTCCACTTTCTGTCAGTGAAGACACCAAGATATAAATTTTCAGAACTATAAAATTTTGAGTGGAAGACTTGTTATATCCTTCTTTCCCCAACCCAACCCATACTATCTTAAAGCAAACACCAAGGTAAGAGCACAAACAGGAGTAACAACACAAACAATTCAAAGGTGGAATAAAGTGTTTCTTTTTAAAACTGTAGTGTCATTCTGGAGGTACTACGAAATACAAGAGAAAAAAAAATCTATAAAGAGAGATTAGAAAAAAGTGAGATTCTATAAAGTAAAATTGTCACTAAGTCTCATAAAATCCAACTCACTCGCTCTGTGAGTACCCAACATGACCGTGAAGGCTGGGTGAACCATTTCAGAGGACCCTGTCTTTCGTGCAATGTGGAAAAATTCCTTCAAGTGTCAAAATCCAAATTTCTTAGCTTGGGGAAACAATTGGCCTTGGGTAGAAAATGTGATACTCTATGTACAACCTCAGCTTTTGGCTTCTAGAATTACATCACTGTCAGTCATTGCTCCTCACTGCCCCGAAACAGCGGTTTCACACTGCAGAGTTGAACTAGCACATTGAAGCATGGTGCTCTGGATGTTAGGAAAAGCTGTAGTGTTCGAATGTTGCTGCCAAGAGATTTCAAGGTTATATTAAGAGTTCCAGAAGTTTAGAGCTGGGTTATGTAAAACTTAGTGAAGAAATATACCCCTCAAAAATTCTTTTTTTTCCCCCTTTGGCTAATGTTTGATGCTAAAACCATATATACGATGGAATCTGAGTTATTTTTTTCCAGTTGATTTCTGTAAGGTTCTAACAAGCGATTAACTACAGCCACCACCACAGGAGCTGAGCCACTAACCACTGTGTTTTCTGCCTTGCCTCATCGATCTGATACTAGTTGGTTCATTATCTCTGGACCCAGCTCTGGCCTCCCTCTCTCATTTGGCTGCCCCCAGATGGCTGTTTCCTGGTTATGCCCCTGTAGGGGCTCTAGGACCATGGCCTGTTAAGTTCCATGTCCCATTCTTGCCAGGACTCAAATCCTCAAATCCACCATTTCAGTGGTGCCGTTTGTGATTTTCTTGGTTTTGGGTTTTAAAAAGCTAGGTATTATCTACAAATGAAAGAAGAATCATCACCTTGGAATCTGGGAACAGGGCATTTGTTTTATGGTGAATTGTCGAACAGCTCATTCTCCATGGCTGCGGTCTTAGAGAAGAAATCAGGAGCAGAATCTTTGCTTCAGTTATACACTTCTTGGTTATATCAACCATATTTCTTTCATTCATTTGTTAATTGGCCGGGAAACTCAGTAATCAAGAAAAAGATTTTAATGAAGTATTTTTGAAAAATAAAATGAATGCCAGAAATCTCTGATAAAATATCACAAGTTGTGATAAAGAAGAGTTGGGTGTCATCATTCTTTCTCCTACCTGGCACTATATGGCCTGGCACAGGGTTCCGATCTATCTTCTTCTGACATCAAATGTATGTTTTTTCTCCAACACCAAATACTATAGTTTCTCCCCCCAAATTCTCCAATATAAATATGTAATTTAATTCTGACCCCATGGATGTAAAGCTCAGTCCCACAAGACGTCCCTTACTTCAGATGCCATCTACAAAAGGGATGCCTGGGCTATTCACATTTCTGTCTACCAACTATCAACTCAGGGATTCCCCTGACCCCCTCCTCAGGTTCTTGAATTCTCCAGACTCTTCTTTTTATTGGTTTATTATGAAAGTTGCCACTCAGGAACAGACAAATGTAAGAGATACAAAATTTGAGGTTTAGGGATGGGGTTTAGTGCAGAGTTTCCAACTTAACTGATGCTGACAGCACCTCCATGTGACCACTAACCTGGAAGATCCCTGGGACCCATTCTATAGAGCTTTTTATGGACATTTTATTATGAAACCATGATTGATCAAATTATTGGCCATTGGTAATTGAATTCAATTTCTAAGCCCTCTTTCCTCCCTGGAGGTCTAGAGATGAGACTCAAAGTTCCAACTCTAACCACACAGTTGCTTCCTCTATCCTGAAACTGTTTATAAATCTACCTTATTAGGATAGACTCAAGTATGGTTAAAAGGGGCTCATTATGAATAACCCTATAATTAAAGATATTCTCATCACTCAGGGAATCCCGAAGGTTTTAGGAGCTCTGTGCCAGGAAATAGGAACAAAGACCAAATACCTAGTGTTCATGATATATATGTTGTATTTAAAATGTTGATTTTTTTATCATGAATTTTCCCACTAATTTTGATTTTTTAAAATAACGCATGGACATTATTTATTTTGATTAGTGAGTTTTTTGGCATGTGCTTGAATTTGGTCCCTGAGGTTAGTGCTTCATTGACCTCCCGCTAGACCCAGCCCAGCTTCTCAGCCCTTCATCTTTGAGAGCTGGAAGTCCCAGACAGAAGTAGTGATGGCAAGACCCTTAACATAAGCCGTATCCTTGCCACATTAATTGAGTGACTGTTATGGTTTGAATATTAGGTGTCCCCCAAAAGCTTATGTGTAAGACAATGAGAGAAGGTTTAGAGACAAAATGATTGGGTTAGAAGCCTTAACCTAATTGATCTGTTAATTCCCTAATATGAGTGGTGACAGTAGGTAGGTAGAATGTGGCTAGAGGGGGTGGGTCAATGGGGACATGCTCTCGGGGTTTATATTTTGTCCATGAGGTAAAAAGCTCTTTCTCTGCTTCCTACTGCCATGTCACTAGATGCTTTCCTCCTCCACACTCTTCGGCCATGATGTTCTACTTTCACCTTGGTTCCCAAGGAATGGGGCTGGCTGACTATGGATTGAGTCTTCTGAAACCATGAGCCACCAAATAAACTTTTCTCCCTCCAATGGTTCTTGTCAGGTTTTTTTTTTTTTTTTTTATCACAGCAGCAATACAGTTGACTAAAAAGTGACCACATTATGATACAGGGATTTGTTAAGTTTACCTCTATAAATCTGTGCAAATCAGTGGACTCAATGAACAGGGTGGCTATCTAACAGCTGGGTTCATAAAAAGAAAGGGGGAGGGATGAAATCTTTCCAGTGTCAGGTGGTGGGGGATGTTGAGCAGCACACTTGGGGTCAAGTGGCCACCTCCTTTATACCCATCCCTAGAGCTCTCTGGGTCATCTGGTTACCCAGGGAAGTAAGTTCCAATCAGTGCAGCCAAGAAGGCTTTGGCTGAAATTCTTTTTGGGTCTTGATTTCCCTTTCTATACAAATATAAGATTTTTGGTTAGCCATTTATAATTTTATTTTTACAACAACAAATATTTATGGCTTGGTTTTGTTTTTCCCAAACAATGTGGAGCTACTCAGTGATTTTCTGAAAATTAGTTGAAAAAAATGTACATTTTTATTAGTAATGATGGAAAATTTGGAAAAACAGAAAAACACTAAGAAAAAAACTTAAAAAATACATCACCATTCTATTTCTAGAGATAACTGCTATTGATATTTTGGTGTATTTAATCCACACATACATGCATACACACACACACAGAGTATATAAAATACAGACTGATTTTGATAATCTTTACCAATTTGGGGCAAGTGACTAGAAAAGTCAAAGTGAAGAATATCTTCATTCACTCTGAGTCTTTTTAGGAAGGAAAGTTCTATGTTGAAGTTGTCTTCACAATTGCTAAGCTATGCATTTTTATCTCCATTTTACACAGGACAAATCAAATTTGGATGGTTTGAGTGGCTTTCCTAAGGTTCCCAATGAATAAGTAACAAGGTAGGATAAGAGCCCAAATCCATCACAGGAAGAGCCTCGGTCACCTGCAATCCATCACACCCAATAGGAAAGGTGTCTGGCAATGAAAGCTGTTCTCCACACACAGGTCAATACATTTTTACTAAAATTAAATATATTCTGGGTCTTTGAGAATTCAAATAGAGATAAAGTCTATAAAATATTTAAAAGGGTTTGTTTTTCTCTTCTATTTCTAGAGAATGTCCTTCCTGGGCAGACTTAAGTCGAGATTTTGGCAAAAATGGTTGGATGGAATTTTTTTTTTTTCTGAATGGAAGAAAGGCCATTGTTTAATTGAATTTGGAAAGCACATACCTAACATCAATACTGATTGGCAGAGATTAAGCAAAACCTTCTTTGTAGTTAGAAACTGCAATTGAAAATGTGTTGCTGAAAATGGAATAAAAAATTAGTACTTTGATAGTCTCCAGTGTTCAGGTACCATGCAGGTTCTTATGTTAGGTATTTTATTCATGCATTCTAAGGCAGTGATCTTGCAGTTGCTGTACCATGTACCAACTATAAAAAGAGGACAACGTGTGCCAAAATATATCATTTGTTGGCAGAAACCCACTGGGACTCTTTTAGGAATTCCATTACAATATGCTTGAATGCTTGGGTAAATTCTACCACTTAGGGAGAATCTACATTCGGGAAAAGACAACATTCTGTAGTCCAAACTGAAGTACTTGAGCTTGCAGAGGGCATTTTGTGAACAGTTCTTATCATTCTCCAACATTTTTAAAAAGACAGAAAATTCAGTCAATGTTGTGGTTTGAATGTCCCCTCTAAAATTCTTTTTGAAATACAATTGCTATTGTAACAGTGTTAGGTGGGACCTATAAGAGGTGATTAGGACATCAAGCACAGCCTTCAGGAATAAATTAAGGCCTTAATAGAAGGAGTGGGCTAATAATCTTGGGAGTGGGCTCCTGATAAAAGGAGGATTTCTCCTACGTGTTCTCTGGTGCATGCTCACATTCCTTCCACCCTGTTGTAGCAGAACAAGAAGTCCCTCACCAGATGTAGCTCTTTGACTTCTGACTTGCCAGTTTCCAGATTCATGAGCCCAATAAAATTCTGTTGTTTGTAATTTGCTCAGTCTGTGGTGGTCTGTTATTGCAGCAGAACACAGACGGATACAGTCATGATAGTGAAAAGAACAGAGTAAGATGGTCCTGGCTTGGGGAAGGGGTGGTTCTGAGTTAACTTCTTCCTCTCTATGTCTTGACCCCATCAGTAAAACCAAGATATAAAACTGTCTCCTGCCTTCACAACTCCTGTCCTCATTGGTGCATTTGGAGAGGATAGGATTTCTCCTTGAGAACACAGTGAATTCCTAAGAATAATGGCGTGATGCTCTCTTCATCTCTGCTTTTCCCTGTAACAAGGTCAGGATACCCACGCGGGGAGGTGTGGAGGTAGGCATTGATTTGCCCTCCTCTCTGCTCCAGAGTCTGCTCAGAGTGCAATCACAGGTGAAAGAGGCAGGCTGGTTGGCACTAATCTACTTAGCCACGAATAACTTTGCCCATGTCCCAGTTTCTTCTTCTGCAAATTGGAACTAATATTTACCTTGTAGCTCAAAGGGATTTAGTCAGGCCTAATGAGATCAGTTGTGTAGCGGATTTGGCGTTGTTGGGTGGACGGCATTACATAAATACACCGTCATTTTCATTAGGATTATTTTCATCATAATTTTATGCTAAACACAGCTGTGGCAACATATGTTTTAAAGATTTACATAAACATTCCTAAATTTGTGAAACCTGATTCGTTTTTGCCCAATTTGGCTAAATTTGCCATCGTTTTGAAAATTCTGAAGGCAAGCCTTTCAGAGCCTCTCCCTGTGGCAAAGGCTTATATGCTGACAAGCGCAATTTTGTTTTGTAAGCTCTTTAAACACAGCAAAATTGTCCAAGGTGGTGGCCTGGTAATTTGGAGGTGGGGCTTCCTCACAGGAACTGGGCTAGGAACTGACATTCACAAAAGTCAAACTTAAGGTCATTCCAAATCCTGCTTACATCCAACACAAAATCTTGATTCCTGGAAAAATCACATAAATTGAAAAGGCTTAAGTCTTTTTTTTTTTTTTTTGGTTTGTGTGATTTAACTTGAAGATCAAATCACGGCCAGGCCTGTAGCAGTTCCCAATTTGGCTGTGAGCCACTTGTATTTGGGGCCACATTAATAACTATGCACTTCACCTTTCTCCAGGATTAAGCATATGGTGACCCAGCTGCGCAATTCACATGACCCAAAACATTGAATCAATTGTGCTCAGAGTCGCTTGCCTGAAACCAGCCTTAGGCAAGGTTATAGCAGCAGGGAAAAAAAAAAGAAAGAAAGAAAAGAAAAAAACTCAAGCATTTGCTGGCTTGTTCCCCAAAGGCTGATGGTCTTCAAGGGCTTTGAGTGGCAGGACCCCAACTCCTGTGTTTCTTTTGCTATAATTCAGATAAATAACCAGATAAATCAGGGGCCCATCAGAAAACTGCATATTTTGGCCTTTTCCAATGTGCTCATAGTTGAATAAGCTCAGTGCTGAGGCAGTGACTAATTAGGTTGACAATGACTAATTAGGTTCACAGTTCTACTGTTGAGTCTTTATTTTCCTCACACAAACTTGTTCTCATTCTCAAACACATTGCATAAATCAGTGATTCTACATGTTATCTCCAGTTGCCTCAGAGTTGTAAATTTTAAAAATATTTTATTCAGTTTATTTAAAGAACAAATATATATCCCAGAGTGCTTTGAGGAAGAAAGGTTTTCAAGCCAAATAATAATAGTTTGGCATAAAGTAATGGTAATGATGTCTGGGTTTAAAGTGTTTATCTTAATTGAGGTTTCAGGGAGCCCCTTGGGTAATGGACACCCTTTAAGAAACATAATTGGGAAGGTAAAGGTGACATAATCTTTCCAGGAAGCAAAATGAAGGAGATATTTTGTTTTTCTCCATAAAACAACAAAACAAAACAAAATTTTATAAGCCAAAGCTCTTGAAGCCTTACAAAACCAGTACCTCTGTGGATTGAGGGCACAGTCGGGAATGTTGAATTTAACAAATTTCCAAGTGATTCTGTTGGGGTTGGTCCTTATGATTGCAATTTGAGAATAACATCTTTTTCCAAACAAATTCTCAACAAGAATAACCAGAAATCAGTTTCTCCACGAAGAGGCCAACTGCGTTGTTCTTTGAGAGCTATCCTCCACACTCTCCCTTTGCTGTCTTCCTCTTGCCAAGAGCAGGGAGCAGGCAGAGAGAAGTGAGATAAGTCGTGCAGTTGTCCAGGAAACAGGCCAACAGGAGCCACCGCCATTTTGGCCTTTGTGTGGCATGAAGCCTTTCATATGGTGGTAGCCTGAATAATGCCCCTCTCCCCATCCCCAGATAAACTTAAGTCCTACTCTCTGGAACCTGTGCAAATGTTATATTAAACGATCACAGATGAGATTAAGGATTTTGAGTTGGGGACATTATCTTGGATTATTTAAGTGGTTCCAGTGAAATCACAGTGTTCCTTATAGGAGGGAGTTCGTGAAGCAGGAGGGTCAAAGAAAAGAAGTTACAAGGCAACGTAATGACCAATGTAGGGAGGAGGGAGAAGGAGATTTGAAGATGCTACATGCTACACTGCTGGATTTGAAATTGGGCCATGAGCCAAGTTACGCAGACAGCCTCTAGAAATTAGAATAAGTAAGGAAATAAATTGTCCCTTGAGCCTCCAGAAGGAACACAGCCCTGCTGACCCATTTTTGACTTCTGACCTCAACATCTGTAAAAGAATAAATTTGTACTGTTAATGCTGTCAAGTTTGTGGTAATGTCCTTTAGCAGCAATGGTAAACTGGATGTGGGAGCAAAACCACCTTTAGGTCCAGTCATTCAGTAGAAGGGCTCATAAGATGAAGAAGAATTATTACACTCATGGTCATGGCTTATTACAGCAAAATAATATAGGTTAAAATTAGTCAAGGGAAAAGACACACAGGTATTCACCATCAATCAGATTTGCTAGTTAAACTATTTAATCAAACTGGTACAGTGTGGCCCAAGGTCTGAGAGAGACTAAATAAATAAATAAATAAATAAAGCCCTCCTACTACTGCTCTTCTTGCATATCTTCTATTTAGACATCTATTAAAATGCTCATGGTAACAGTAGTGCCTACCTCACAGGGTTGAGAGTCTCCATCAAGATATGATGTTTAGAAATACCTTTAAACTATGAAGTATAATGATGTTGATGAGGAGGACCAATTCAGAGTGACAAATTAAATGAACAAGGAATTGAGACTTGGAAGGCTTTCTGTGCCATTAAGTACCCGGGAATCCTTAGGTGTTTGCTTAACCTCAGGCTTCAGCCTGTAAACAGAGGTATTGTCCTTAGACTGGTGCTTCTCCACGGGGCTGTACGGTCATCGTCTGTTAGCCAGAAAGGGTGCAATACCCATAGCTTATGGAAAATTTGGTTTATCCACCATGTGTGAATATTATCAGAAGAAAAGGCGAAACTGCCAGCCCAGAGGCTTGGCAATTTATCTGCTTTGCTGTAAGAGATCTCTCTATTATGCTCTCAGTGTATCATAGAATGATTTCAGCCCAAACCACCTCAATCTAAATCAATCTTCCCACCTCCCTCCCTCCTTCCCTCCTCCCTTCCTTCCTTCCTTCTTTACTCTTTGCAATTCTGGGGATTGAACCCAGGGGTGCGCTACCACTGAGCTACATCTTTACCCCTTTTTATCTTGAGACAGGATCTTGCTGAATTGCTAAGGCTAGCCTCAAACTTGATCTTCCTGCCTCAGCCTCCTGAGTCATGGAAGGTGTGTGCCACCATGCCCAGCATTTAAGATTGTACTGATGGCACAATGAATTTGAGAAATAGAAATTGCATTGAATTCTACTTTTCTAAGTTCATATATTTTTGTTTTAGCAATAGATTTCTTCCTGTCCTCAAATTTTCATGAGACTTCACTGTAGTTTGTTTTTGACTTATAAATGCTTTGCCTGGCTCTACTTACCTTGTTTATGAATTTATTTGTCTTTGCTCTGGGGTATTTTATCTTCTACTTATCTTAATTATCTTTTTAAAATAAATTTATAATGTATTGGCCTCAACTTTCAATTTTATTCTTTCTATATTAACATCATGTATTTCAGACAAAGCCAAGAGAGAATTAAAATATTCAATCTAGATAATCTACAGCTGTGGAAATGTCCAACATTTCCACAGCTGTGAAAGTGTAGTGACATTTCAGTTGCTCAAAAATCCATTTCTGTTTGATTAGCTATGTGTGTGTGTGTGTGTATGTGTGTGTGTGAGTGTGTGTGTGTGTAGGTATATCTGATTTTCAGGAAATTCATGCAACTTCAAATTCAAGCACTAAATGTAGAATATAATTATCTACCAAGAAGATAGGAAATAGATCCAGTGTTTTTAGTACAGGTCCTCTTGGCTAAATATCCATTATGTTTTTTATTATACACAACATCTCTTAGAAGAGCTACCCACTTCCCCTGTCCCTCCACCCCCATAGTCCTTCTGTTTTCTGCCTGTTAATGTCCTTTTAATGCTCATTTAATGCTTTTGTTTGCTTTAAGAGGATCTGATTGTGTTAGCTCTATAGAAATGAGGGGCCAATAAGAGAATGAATTCATGTAAAATACAATTTAAGATGAAAGTTCATTTAAATGTTCATTAACAACAACAACGAAATATATAGGCTGCTTCTTTGTTAGACTCTGAACACAAGTGGCCAGAACTCAGAGGTGAACTAGAAATGGGTTTTCAGCTTTAGGGAACTCACACCTAGAGAAGCCACACAAAAATAAATACAACACACTGAGAATGAGGTGAGGGAACCCCTTCCCTGTGAACATGGGCAAAGTAATTATCCTCTGGTCCATCTCAAGCTCTGTGCCATGTGTTCCTTGAAAGCAGGAACTGTGCCTTTTATTTAGATGCCTACAAATTTCTGTACAATTTATTACATGCAGTAATTCCTCAGTAATGGCTGCTGATTAAGTGTACAAAGCATGGTGAGAGCAACGAGGAGCAAATGACTGCTGTACCCGAGGAGCTGGGATAAGGCCTCCCATAGAAGGTGGCATTTGAGCCTCTCAGGGTGAACAGGAGGAGGGGGTGGGTAGGCATTTCAGGTGGAGGAACAGAAGACCACGTCACAGAGCTAAGAAAGAGCATAAAGGATCAGGCTGGCAGGCTGCATGGTTCATGCTGGGGCGTCACTAGCTGAGGCTGAGACAAACTTTTGGGGTGAGACATCAGGGCCTACTTGAAGATTAGATTGAGGCATCAGGGAGACCCTTTTCTGAAAATTTTGTGACTTAATCCAAGTAACAAATTTAATCAACATTTATGTAAAAATGTTAACTTGATAAATATTTTTTCCTGTGATTCAAAATATTTCTGGAGATTGTTGATGTCATCCATTACTGTGGCTTGTGGCTTTCATTAACATGCCAGTTAAATAATTAAATAATCACACAATGTTTTTCTTTATTTTCCTTCCTTCCTTTCCTTTCCTTTCCTTCCTTCCTTCCTTCTTTCTTTCGATTGAACCCAGGTGCACGTACCCACTAAATCACTTCCCAGCCCATTGTATTTAGAGGCAGGGTATCACTGAGTTACTTAGGGCCTTGCTAAGTTGCTGAGGCTGGCTTTGAACTCATGATCCCCCTGCCTCAGCCTCCTGAGCCAATGGGATTATAGGCGTGCTGGCTTAATCAAATAAATTTAAAATTACAGTAGGATAGCCAAATTACACTATCAGGGATTTTGGAAAAAAATCGGACTTAGTCTGAAATCAAAGGAAAAATAGAATTAGACAAAGAGGAGAGGGAAAAGTGGTCCCAGAAGAGAGAAGAGAGTCAGGAAAAGGGGATGTAGTAACAAAATCCTCAAAACACTTCAAATAGGTCAACAGAGAATGGCTGCTTATGTGAATGCAAAATCCCTTAGGAAAGTTGAATTTCAGATCCCGTTGAAAGTTAGGGGAAATTATTTTAGACAAAAATAATTTTAGGGTCTCTCCAAACTATGGAGAGACAACACTAGATAGGTTTAGTTGTGAGACTGTTACACTTGAGGAAGGAAAGAGATGGTAAGAAACTGACCAAGAAAGGAGAGATGAAGGCATGGAATGAAGATGCATTTGCAAAGTAGAGTCAATAAGACCAGTGAATAATTGGATGGTGGACAGAAGAGAGAAAGAGCACCCTTGGACGACTTGGAGTCATCCAAGACAGACAGGGTGGTATCAGACCAGACAATATTCTGCACAAATGAGTATGTTTAAAGTGTTAAGCGTTGTATGTCTGTTGATAGAAAACAATCTCCGATTTTGAATTCTAGAAGGGCATCTCTGGCCTTGACTAGCTCCTTCATCATGCCCGTTTTTTTTTGCCTCCGCAAAGGAGAAGCAGGGACTTGGGTGTCTGGAGATAAATGGGTCAGAGGTTGTAATCGGTGGTGCATTTAGAGCTTTCCAGAGTCAAATGACTGCATGTGGCCAACCTCTGGGTCCTGCCAGGACCCAGGAAGATTGTTCCAGGCTTTGGTGTTCAACAGCAAACTGAAAACAAGTCCCACAACTTCTCATGGCAACAGTAGGACCAAGAAAACTTGGATTCATTTTGAGCCACTGTGTAAAAATGAAAAGCATGTGGACTTTCAACGTGTTTAAAATATTTAAAATCTATTACAGGCCAAACTGCAGAAGCTTATGAAGTGGTATACAGGCAGTTATTAGAGATTCTGAACAAGGCTGACTGATCACCTGCCAATGCCATCATGGTTTCCTCTGGTCCCACACTGCGCTCCAGGCAGCAGCTCTGTTCTGAAGACTTGGGCAAACTGGCTTGGAGAATGCTTCCTTCAGAATCAGCCAAATACACTTTATGCTAAATGAACTTCCCATGAAACTGCACAAAGACATTTTAATGGAATTCTGCATGCACAGAACTCAATGTAATGAGATGTAAAATTCACAATATAGTATGTTTAGATAACAGTGCAACTTTGATTTGTGTGTCTTTTATTGATCTCACCCTGGTCATAGCCAGATGTAGCTGACATGAACTATTTTACAGTCGAGTTTCTTGGAGATAGAAGTAGTGTTTGACATAAATTCAAAAGCATCTGGGGTCCCTTACATTTGTTCTCATTGGTTTTGATTTCTTGCTATTAATTTGTCTTCATCTTTAAGTTCCTTAAAATGCCCTTCATTCTTTGGATTTTTCTACACTCTCTGATTTCTGTTTTCCTTTTTCTTGCCCAGCATGATATATTGCTACTTTTCTCCCCCATAACTCACCTAAACACAGGTAAATGGGTGAGGGAGAAGTTTATTTTTTTCTTTTAATTATAGGTTCTAAATTTACTTGTTTAAGTATTTAGAAAGGCAATTAGAATTAGAAACTATAAACCTAGAAATTTAGGATAATTGATTTGAAGATATTCGGGAAGAAGTAAACAGGAAAAAGTGTGAAGCTAGAGAACTTAATCACCTCCTTCTATTATGGAAGGCACCAGAAAATATCAACTATTAAGGTTTCTACGAGTTACATTATAGTCTGACTTACAGATGTAATATGCCTTATAGATTTCTATAAATGAACATCAGTAACTGAGATTTCAGTGATGCTACAAATTTTGTTCTGAGTTTTCAGGTTTTAGCTGTTTGTGAAGATAGGCATAGACTCATTAATATTAATAACAACCCTCCTACTGACTGTGGGAAGTGAGATATTTCAGTCCTTGTCCTGAATATTGATGGGGACCTTGATGGTGATCATCACTGTGGAGAAATGAGGTGGGATGTCCCAGACCCTGGTATTTCCATGAAGGAGGTACTGAAGTCTGGAACATTCCTAGTGAGGTTCCTGCTGCATCAAGCCTGGCCAGAGCACCAGTTCAGTACTCTTTATAGAGATATTTAAAGCACGAGGTTTCAAATTGGATTCGATTGCAGAAGTGCCCATTGCAGAGTACCACGGACCTAGCAGTATAATCAGAAATGTATTGTCTTTAAGTTCTAGAGGCTAGAAGTTCAAGATCAAGGTGTTTGCAGGGTTGGTTCCTTCTGAGGTTGGTGAGGGAAGAACTTGTTCCAGGGCTGTCCCCTAGTTTCTGGAGATGGCTGGCAATCTTTGATGTCCTTTAGTTTGTAGATACGTCACACAGAACTGTGCCTTTTCCTTCCTTAAACGAGTCTGTGTCCAAATTTTCTCTTCCTACAAGGACAGTAGTCATATTGAATTGGGTCCCATCCAACTCCAGTGTGACCTCAACTCTAATTGCATCCATAAAAACATTGTTCCCAAATAAAGGCACATCCTGAGAGTTAAGACTTCAAGAAATGAATTTTGAGAGTGGGGACACAGTTCAACCCCAAATATTTCTTTATGGCCCAGAGGGGCAAAATAATTAGTGAAGGCATGTGATGTTTATGTTACAAGTTCTCTTAAAAAACATTCTCCTTTCCTTTCTATTTATCCTCTTCCTTATCTGTTTGTGGCAAACTGGATTGAGCCTCCCCTTTACCCCCAGATAGCAGAAGTCAACAACCTAGGGCTGGTGCTGCATCCTGGAGAGTTCACACGGACCCATGTTCACTTTCTTTTCTTTTTTTTAAAAATAATTTTTTAAAATATTTTTTTTTCAGTTTTTGGCGGACACAACATCGTTGTTTGTATGTGGTGCTGAGGATTGAACCCGGGCCGCACGCATGCCAGGCGAGCGCGCTACCACTTGAGCCATATCCCCAGGCCCCCCCGCCATGTTCACTTTCTATGGTGGTTTTGAATCTAAGCAAGATCAGAAAGAACACAAATTCTAGGATTCTTATCTCTCAAGTTATTTAATAGGAGGTATATTCTTCTCTACATGAGGAAAGTTTGTTTTTTTCCTGGGAAGAAAATTGACACTCACCAAGGAGAGATGTGAGAAAACTGGACATAGCTCTTATTAGAGGTAAGGACAGAGCTAAAATTGAGTCTTTTAAAAAAATATTTATTTTCTGGTTGTTGATGGACACAATACCTTTATTTGCTTTTATGTGGTGCTGAGGATTGAATCCAGGGCCTTAGACGTGCTAGGTGATCACTCTATCCCTAAGCCACAACCTCAGCCCCTAAACTGAGTCTTTATCTTATTATCCATCTTCTTTGTGATATCAGGGACCAACCCTAGCAGCTTCACAACTGGAAAAAAAATCCTCCACCATCACTTGAGGATATGGTTTGGATCTTACATAGTCCCTGTGATGGCACTGTTGGGAGGTAGCATGACCATTAGGAGACGGGGCCTATTAGAAGGAAGTGAGGTCACTGCCAGTGTATCCTTGAAGAGGATATTGGGACCTTGGCCCTAAGGCCTCTCCCTTTTGCTTCCCAGTTGCCATGGGGTGAGCAGCTTTGTTCCACTATGTACTCTTGCCTTGCTGTTCTGCCACAGGCTCAAAGTGATAGGTTCAAACAACCATGGACTGAAAACTCTGAAATCAGAGCCAAAATAAACCTTTCCTCCTTTGAGTTTATTTTTCTCAGGTATTTTGTCATAGTGACGGAAAATTGGTTAACACAATTGACAAAAAGCCTGAGATGCTGGTTTGTAACACACACACACATGCACGCACACACACACATACCCACACAGCCAAGGGCCAGGATTTATTTCTATGCTACAAGATAGCTAGAGATGGAGTGTCCTGATGGAGAAAAGTAGAGGTGATAGAAAATAAAGACTTGAATTAGAACCGTGGGAAGACGAAGGAGGGCAGTGATTGATGAGGCAGAGAAAGGCAAGGAGCAAGATGGCATTCATACAGGAGGCTGCCACCACTCCTGAGCAGCCCTATTCCATGGCTATAACCTTCTCTGGGTTCCAGTCTCCTCTTTTGCCCTTTGGGTTTAGGGGTGCCAATGGCTTTCCCCTATGGTTAATTCTTGGGCCATTTTTCATCCCTTGGGGTTCCCCTAACATTATTCACATCTTTGTAAAGTGTTCCTTCCTTAAACTCTCCATTCATCTGATTGCCATATAGTTGCTACCTGTGTTCAGGTTTCATCTCCCCAAGGAGCGTTTAAGTTTCTGGAAGGCAGATATCAAGCCTTTCTCATCCTTAAATTTGCATAATATTGACTGCAAAGCATCGTGGGAAACTCCATGAATGGTAAAATCAGGAAAGGGCAAGGGATAGGAGTGCGTGAAGAAAGAAGAGTCAGGAAAGGAGAAAGGAAGAAAAGAAAAACAGGAAGAAGGAAGGTTGGTGCAAGGGGGTTATAACACAGGAACGGGGACCTGAATTCAATAATTATTTTCTCTGACTATGAGGGTAAGGGCAAAACAGCCAGGAAGAGCAGGGTCCTGAGACGCCATCTTGTTAGGTCTTGTACAGACAGTTATTTCTTATTTATTGCTCCCCATTCTGCAAAATGCCTTCACTGCTGATAGCTACCATACGATGCTAGGAGAATGGCTTGGCTTCTCCTTCTACGTCTGAGGCTCAGGAACCTCCACAGGGAGAACCCCAGTTAGTGTTGCATAGTGTCAATCCCAGAAAGCTGAGCTGCCCCAAGACAGCAACCACAGGGCTTCTGACTGCAGTCAGTGTGCTCCTACTGTATGCCAACTATTGAGAGATTCAAGGATTGAAAGACATAGAAGAGGGTCCCTGTGCTCAAAAATTGTGGTGGTACCATCCAGAGTCTATGGAACAAGCAGAGGAGCAATAGAACATCACATTAACCTAAATGGGGGTATTAGAAAGTCCAAATGAAATAATATCAGCCAAGTACAGAGTGCAGAGAGGAGTGGTCATGTGGAATGACTCAGGAGGACTGGCTAGATTTTGAGCCATATTTGTGGTGGGAACATTCAAGCAGGTAGCTTGGAAAATATATTATAAGGCAATCAATCAATGTCAAGCAATGTCCTCAGGAATGTGGGTCTCAGGTCCTCCGAGGACACTTTATTGCTGATGGAATAAAAACTATTATGTAAGGACGTGTTCGAAGTTCAGTGCGGATGCTTTGTATTTTATTTTATTTTTCTTCATTTGGCAAGAAATAATGGTGCATGGCAGAATTAAAAGGATTGGAAATTTTCTTCCTGGAACTCAGATCATAATACTGATTGGGTATGCTGATTTGCATCATATTCCTATTTAGCCATTCACCATTGCTGCTGGTAAGACCATGGTGTGTCTAGCACGTCAGAAGAATCTTTGATCCTGCCTCAAATAAAATAGTAGACTAATGCACATGTATTTTGCCATTTTCATTATCATTAAGAGAAATGCCAGAAAACATTTCAATTTAACCTCTGGAGAAAATAAACTACTCTCCTAACTAAGAGCAGCCCTGTCTCTTCCTAAAGCGGAACCACACGTTTGAAATTCTTCATCCTATTAGGCCAAGGACACATCTCTTCTCCTCACATTGTTTCAAAACTATCATGAATGGAGGTCCTATCCGGGGTCTCCTGGAAGAAGTTGGTGTCTAGAACCCAGTAAATGTTAGAAAAAGAGGAAGAAAATTTAGAAATACAATGGAAGAGTAAATATGTGTCAAGAAAGGTCTGACATGTTTGCCGTGTTTTTCTCTGGCAGAGTCTCATAATGCTGCGCTTTCATTAAGGTAAGTGACAAAATGCTGTTCCAGGTTGTTTCTGTATTAATCATAAAACCATAAAGCTAGCTCAACATCAGAAGAGAAATATGTTTAGTAAATCATAATAAAGACAAAATAGGACTAGGAACTGAGGCAGATTGGTCATTGAGTAGTTTAGGAAATAACACACAGTAGGCACTTTGAATAACTAAGAGGCCTACCTAAAGCTGGCTACCCAGACATGAAGGAACTACCAGTGTTTAGACCTAAAAGCTATTTCCTGAGGCTGTCCTCTAGGTTCTGCCAATAAAACAGTGAGCAACACACACACACACACACACACAATCCTGGGTGCTGGGGACAGACAATAAATCTGAGAAATAAATAAGGTAGAGACTCTCTC